TTTTTTTGGTTTTTCAAGACAGGGTTTCTCTTTGTAGCTTTGCGCCTTTCCTGGAACTCACTTGGTAGCCCAGGCTGGCCTCGAACTCACAGAGATCCGACTGGCTCTGCCTCCCGAGTGCTGGGATTAAAGGCGTGCGCCACCACCTCCCCGCCCTGTCTCAATTTATTAAGCACCCAGTACCTACCTTAGTTAAGCTCCAAATCTCCTGCAAGGTACTTGCTTTTTGAGACAGAGTCTCCCTGTGTAGCCCAAACGAGCCTGAAGCTTACCCTTCTACCTTGACCTCTAAGTGCTAAGGCTGCTCTGGTGTGGGCCACTGTGCCTGGCATCAATGTCTTTCAAAAGAAGAAACTGAGTCTTAAGGAAGGCCACCAGCCTCCTTCAGGTCACAGAGCTAGCAAAGCTGTCCAGTGTTGCCAGACATGGTGGTGGCGCACGCCTTTAATACCAAATCGGGAGGCAGAGGCAAGAGGATCTCTGTGAGTTCGAGGCCAGCCTGGTCTACAGAGTGAGATCCAGGACAGCCTGGACTACGTAGTGAGACTCTGTCTCATCAAAAGAAAGGAAGAAAGAAAGAAGGAAAGAAAGACAAAAAGAAAAGGAAAAAAGAGGAAAGGAAACCAATCTAGTCAGTGGTGGAGCACAGATTTGTATTTGGCAAAGCCATGTTCCCACTCTAAACTCAAGCTCACTGCGGGAGAGGCTGCCTACGAGGTACTGGGGCCAGGAGACCCACACTGTCTTCCTTCTAAGCCTGACTTCAGCCCAGTTGCCTGGACGTTACCTTTAGTCATCCTTCACCACAACTGACACACATAAGAATGTCTTGAGAAGGGGGTGGGGGGGGGGTGTTAAAGGCGGAGACCCACAGAGACCGCTGACCCGAGCTCATAGGAGCTCACAAACTCTGGACCCACAGCTAGGGAGCCTGCATGGGACCGACCTAGGCCCTCTGCATGTGGGTGACAGCTGTGTAGCTTGTAGCTTGGTCTGTTTATGGGGCCTCTGGCAGTGGGACCGGGATCTGTCCCTGATGCACGAGCTGGCTTTTTGGAACCTATTCCCTACGGTGGGATGCGTCGCTCAGCCTTGATGCAGGGGGAGGAGCTTGGTCCTGCCTCAACTTGGTTGAGGTGCCATGCTTTGCTGACTCCCATGGGAGGCCTGCCCCTTTCTGAGGAGTGGATGGGGCGGGGGTAGAAAGGAGGTGGGGGGATGGAATGGGAGGAGAAGGGGGAGGGGAAACTGTGGTTGGTAGGTAAAATAAATTAATAATTTAAAAAAAGAGAATGGTTTGAGAGTGTTTGGAGTTTTTTAAAAAAAAATTGTCAGGCGGTGGTGACGCACGCCTTGAATCCCAGCACTGAGGAGGCAGAGGCAGGCAAATCTGTGAGTTCAAGCCAGGGCTACACAGAGAAACCCTATCTCAAAAAACATTTTATATATATATGATATTACATGAGATGAAATGAGCCAGGTACAGATAGAAAAATGTCACATGATC